AAATTGATCTCGCGCGCCGACAGACACGCCGTCAGCGTCACGCGGCACTCGGCCTCGACGTCTACGACCCGGCGCCACGCGTCGGCGTCACTGGACCGGACGCAACCACCGGGCTCGTCTTGCTCTTTTCTTCCTCACCGTCGTCGTCGTCGTATTCGCCATCGTCGTCCGGGGACCACGGGAGCGGCGTCGGGCGGCCCGTCGCGCTCATCCACGGAAAAGACTTGCGCGCGAGGGCGACGACCGGCTCCAAGAGGTGACGCGATTGGGTCGTTGGCTCCGAGTGGCGCCGCACGCGCGGGCTTTGCATCGTCGAAAAGGTCGTCGTCGCAAATCCGCGTGGCGTCGGCGTCATGTCCCGATCCGAAACTCCTGTGGCGACGGTATCCTCGGCGAAACGTCATCATCATCATTTATCGCCAGGAGGAGCGTTCTTAGAGCCTTTGGTACGAGGCAACGGAAGAAGACCACTTCTCATGTCCGAGGCCCGTGTGGGCGTTCCGACCCGCTTATGCGCTGCACAATTCCACCCAATTCGACGACATCACGAACGTCCTGTACGTGCCCGAGATTGTGGTAGCGCCAATGGACAATCTTGCTTCGTTGCCCATGCGCTAAATGGCAGCAACGCCAGCTCCAGCACGAGGATGGTCTGCCGTCGACTTGAAAATGTCGTCTCCTGTCGAAGAATGTCCTGTCGCGGGGCTGCAGTGGCTATGCGCTGGACGCAGCGACCACCAACGCCATTATTGAAGGCCTCCGACGGTCGCTCTTCGGAGTACGAAGACACAAAAGTGCTGCAGTACGAAGTTAGCGTCGTCTTGACACGTCGACGAAGCCCCTGCTGCACGGCTGCAATCGACTTGACGACACGAGAAGGGCACTTGACGGTTGGGCCATCGCTTTCAAAAGGCTGCTCACGCGAGGCTTTTGCCATCGCCATCGCTCGAATGTCCTCAAGTTCCGATCGCCACGACAGCGAGTTCATACGACGAGCGATGCTGCGAGTAACGCGATGCAAACTTGAGGGATAGATGGGTTTCCAAATGGACAATGTTGTCATGATCAGTCCATATAAATAATGTACTACGCTATAAGTGGAGCAATCTAGGCCGCACTGCACGACGATGGCCTCGACGACGACGACGACGACGACGACGACGACGACGACGATGACGGCACGGTCACGGGGGCGACGGACGGATCGACCTCGAAATCGTAAACGGGCTGTGCGATCGGCGTCATGCCCGTCATGTAGACGCCGACTTCGTCGGTCGATGACATGGTGTCGCGGCCCTCTTCGATAAAGACGATGACGGGGACGCCCATGATGATGTTGGCTTCGAGCTTCTCTTGCTCGGTGCGGCAGAGGCGACCGCAGACCAAGAAGAAGATGGTGCCGAGCGCAATGGGCACGCAGATGAGGAGGCCAATATAGAGAAACTTGCCGTTGTCTTGGCTGCCGAGGAGCTGGGCCGACGCCTCGTGGAGGGACGCGGCGAGGATGAGTGCGACTAGCTGCGGCTGCATGCTTGTCCGCAAGAAGCAGAAAATGAAAAGTGAGATAAGCGAGCGATCTTTATACTAGTGGACTGCGGCGGAATATTCGCACGGCGCACAGCGGCCGCGTGCCACATCGCTTGCGAGCGCGTGTCGAATCTTCTCACTGTTTATGACGCCACGTCAGAAGGGCGACGCCAGATGGGCCACTGGGCACATTGAGACAGACGACACACAGTTGCCGTCGAGGTCGTCCGACCTGCCGAGCCTCCTCCAGACCGAACGAGTACAGTCGCCAAGCAGACACGTTCAGTGCCTTGCATGCTCGGCGGTGAAGGCGAGCACGTGCGTCGCGCCGGATACCAGGCAGCTCGAGCATGTCGAGGACGAGGGTTGAGGGTTCGATCCCGGTCGAAAAGAGACACGGCGGGTGGCTGGCGTGGACGAGGCCAGGAAGGCGGGAGGCGCCGCTGGGAAGCGAAATCTGCGACAGGGCGCGCGTGGGACACTTTAACGTGGTCCCGACCTGCGTTTTATTGGTCCGCGCGGCAAATAACCCACATTTCGCGGAAATCCAGTACGGGATTCCACGCCGTGTCGCGGCGTCCGTTCCCCAAGAAGGTGGCCCTTTTCTCTCACTGGGTGGGGACCTCGACTGGCTTTCTACGATAGCTCCAGGTCCCGTGCTATCCCCTTGAACGCGTAGAGGCACG